GTGAGCACACACAATATGCCCTTATGTTTTTGGCATGTCTTTTAAAGTTATACCTCAAATAATTTATTGCTAAAAATAAATGCAAGGGGTACACTATAAATAAGTAAATATAATCATGTTCATGCATTTGCTTTTGTTAATACACTGATTCAATAAATTAAATTTTTACTTTTATGGGCGAAGCTCTGTTTTAAGCCACAAGGATACAAAGATTAATATGATGGTCTCTGATCTTAGGGAACTCACAGTTTATTATGTTCCAAGCCCAACAAGATATAATAAGTGTAATATTAAAATACTAATCACTGGGAATGCTATTACTTTTTTAAAGATAACTTCTTTCTCTTAAGTCCTCAGACACGTTTTTAAAATGTTAATGTATTCCTTTATTCCTTCACCGTTAATGGAAAAAGTTTTATTTCATCCAACTCTGAATATAGTGCAACAAAGATTTGGTTCAAGTGGTAGACTTAGTCTATAATATTAACCCTCAAAATAAAGTATATTTCTTCTTGAATTAATAGCCTCTCTAATTTTGGCTTTATCTTCAAAGGTTGTGAAGATGAGAAAAGAAGTGAAGAGAATCCGCGTTTTGGTTATCCGAAAACTGGTCAGGAGCGTTGCCAGGCTGAAGTCAAAAAAGTCAGTTACTTAAAGTAATGGTCTTATTACTAATGAAGTGTCAAAAGTTGTTTTTACTCAGTTTTTACAGAATTTGAGGGTGAGACTTAGAGGAATAATTAAATATGTGACTCGTACAGCACTCTCTTAATATTTAGAGGGTCTGAGTGAGGGAAAATGTGCTGTGGCAGCATGTCCTTACGTAGTTGGGACTGCATTCGCTTAAAATACATGAGGAATTCTAGTGCTGTTTTTTCAAAAGTTTCCTTTTGGCCTTTTCAGAACGAAAGTCCTTTGGGATTATTTATGTATTTTATATTATTATAAGTTATTTTAAGATAGCGATATAGTTAGCAAATCTAGGAATACCTTCAATCAGTTATAAAGATTTTACATCACTTTTTTCCTTGAATTGCTAATTAATTTGACATCTTCAGTATCTTGTGGAAGTGTTTATCAAAACATTGCGTTCGATCTAATTTTTTGAAAAAATAGTGTTTTATATTTTCATTGTCACTGGTATTAGAGAAAAAGTAAGTTATTTATATTTCTTATGCTTTATGCATGAATACTTGCAAAGTCTTCAAATGTGTTTTATTCCTGATTAATTTTTTGTGCTTTCTTTCATAAATGTTCAGAAGATGGTCTTCCTCTCTGATATAATCAGATATTTGACATCTTTATGTATTCTTTTAATTCCATAGAACAAGTTTCCATTCAATAAAATTATATCCAACCTTTAATTGTAGCTTATGGAACTTATATTAAATACAATGTGCTATTAACCAATTAATTAAAAAGTATTTTTTGGCCTTCCCATTAAGGAATTAGAAGGCAAACTGTTTATCAGTGGTAATAATTGTTAATATTATGCCAGGACAATGCTTATTTTTGCCAAAAACTTGGGTTTATCGATAGAATTGAGGTATGTGCTGGAAGTTGGGGAAAGCATTGCAGGATGAGATTGCTTGTTATTCAGAGATTTACTGTGCTTTTCTAAAAGAAATGAAGAGACTTTTCATTATGATATGAGTCTGTAATAAATGCTTTTCCTGGCTACATATTGTAATGTATTTTTTGCAGGGGTTCTGAAGAGGCAATGTTGAAAAACCAAAGGCGGGCACAACGATTGCTTGAAGAAATTCATGCCATGAAGGTACGGACTTGTGTGGGTTTGTGTATATGTGTGTTTCTGTGTCTTATCTCAGCCTGCATTTGGTGTGTGTTTTGTTACTTATTTGAGTATTATTACAAGTTTACCAAGACTTATTTTATGGGCCTGTTTGGTGAAGAATGTGGAACATTTAGAAAACTGTAATATGTTTAAGCTTGCATTTTCTTTTTCACTAAATTTGTTAAAGTACTTGACTAATTTGAGTAAAAACTCTGCCAAACTAAACTCATCTATGTTTAATAATGCTTCATGCCTAAGGTTTTTATTTTTACTGTAACTTTAGGCATGCAGTCTAAGTTAAGTTCAAGAATTAAAGTGTTCATGCTATTTGGTAATGTGGATGGGGATATTGGTGGTTGACATCATGCTTTGCTTATTGCCAACTCAATAAATTTTTGTGTGGTGGTGTCAGCATTTTATTCAGCTCTGTAGTAACTTGAAATAAAATTAGTGTTGGACCAAAATGATCCATATTTTTGTTTCTTTCAGCCAGACTCTTCACTGGCATAATTTTTAGGTCTTCTCACTGCTCTTACTTTGTGGAAACTTTCATTTACCAAATGACATACTATTAAATGTCTGGGAGACTTTTTTATTGCAGAACTTAAAAACAACATTTGGTACTAGCAATTATCTTAATTGCAGGGTCATTTTGCATGTATGTTTGACTATTACATTTTGGTATAACATCCAAGTTTTGAGATAGATAAAAGAATGATTGAATTCTCTAAAACTATTTTAATTGAGTCAGATTATCAAAGTTTTTCACCATTTCCCCCCCCTTTTAACAGGATGGTAAAGTATTACATAGGTCAAAGTTATTTTTCACAGTTTATCTGAGTAGAAGTAGATATAGGATATGATTTTTCTGTGGCATGAGGTGTTTTTATTTGTTTTATTTTGTTTTTGTTTTTTTGTGGGGTTATTTTTATTCACAGGATGCAAAATGTATGAAATCTGTTTGATTTATCTTTTCTAAAGTTTTAATCCCCCTTTTTGCCCCATCATTTAGTCAAAATACTCTATATTTGCCTCGTAATTGTCATTTGTGTCCCTTTGGATGGCACATCATTTAGGCTTTTTCATATACCTTTTTTCCTGTACAGATTTTTGTTTTGAGGATAACTCTAAGATAGGAAGTTATTGTATATCCCTTTGTGTCTTTCACTTTCTCTTAACCAAGGTCCTTACTAAATTATTACCTAAATTTTTCCCTGTAATTTCTTCTGAAAAGTCATTTTTGTAGTCCTCAATTATTCAGAGGCTTTGAGCTACTATGTAATTGCTGATTTCTATTTTTCCATGGAAAGGATGCATTATATATAATAGGCCTACGTGCAGTATATGAAGACTCTGAAAACAAAACATATTTATTAATCTTCAGAATACTTCCCTTCTGTAACTCAATAATGCTTTTAATTTAAAGTTAATCAGAGAAAAGTTGTCCTATTTGATCTATATGTGAAACTTGTTTTCCTTTATTCTTAAACCTCATCAGGAATAACAAATCAAACTTGGTGATAAAAAGTTCATAGGTTTACAGCATTGTGTCACATCCATAGTTTTGTGTGTGTGTGTGTGCGCGTGCGTGTATGTGATTATATAACACCACTGTGGAACTGTTGCCTCATAGAAAGCTAAAATGCATAGCCTACATAGTCTTGGAATTCATAAAATTAATATTGTAAATATATGTGTGTGTGTGTGTGTTTGTGTATATATGTACATATATGTGCGTATGTGTATATTTTTCCTTGAATTCATGGCAGTGGTTAGGATGGTCTGAATTGGTTGCTGTGAATTCAGCTCTTTTTGTAATGCTTTTTAAAGGCTGGATTAAATTTAAATATAAAAACCAGAAAAAAAGAGGAAGACTGTGTTTGCTTTTCTTACATGTCAAATTTTATTCCTCATTTATGATATGGAATTCGTCTACTTTTCTACAAGAAACAAATATATAGAGCATTTTTAAGTGAAAGGTCGTTTGTAATTTCTTAAAGAACTGTTTATCATGTACATGGGAGTATCAAAGAAATAGTCACAAAACAGAAAACTCACAGTCTCAATTAAATCTGAAGAAAAACCTCTACTTATTCGTTTTCCCAGATGAATTTTTTCCTTGGCTCATATACCACTACATTTTTATAGTCTTGTTCATGACATACTGTCCTATACTTGCTTTCTATGATAATAGGGTATTTTGTTGCAAGATGACTTCCTCAAGGAGAAAACCTGAGATATTTTTAGAAATGGGAGTTTGTTTTTTCTGGCCAAGAAGAAAAAAGGGGGACCTGGTCTTTATGATACTATAAAGTCATAGGTTCCAATTTTATAGACTATAAATGTATGAATACCAACTCTGCTGCCTTTTCTCATAGTATTCCTACTTTTAACTCTGATACTGGCTTCTGAAACAGTTCCTTTTTCTTTGGAAATTAAATTAGCTGATCAGCTTTTACAGATCTCTAAGTTATATAGCTAGAGAAGAAGATAGTAAAATTAAGGCAGACAGTAAAATTAATCTAAATATGCAAGAAATCCCTTCCTCAAAAATAAAAGTAATGTAGTTAGCTTTTACTGAGTATTTATTATGTGCCAGGCAGTATATTTGTTAATTTTTTTGTATGAGGGCTTAAAATGAAATTTACCATAAGGTATAAGATGCCTTATTTATCCTGTGTTTTATATTCACTACCTTATAAGGAAGAATAGTTATTTTTACTATCTTACAAAATAGGAAACCAGGGCTTAGGGAAGTTAAGCAACTTGCCTAAAGTTAAATTGTTGTTGGGCTTCATAACTGATTAAAAATCTAATGGCCACTTTACTGCACTGCTTCAGTAAAACCAGGACTTCTGAAATATACCTGTACTTTATTTGTAAACTAATACAAAGAACTATATTATCAAATCATACTACGTAGAGATATTACGTAGAATCCACCTTTACTGATCTTTCAAGGGCACATGCAATCAGAAGGCACAGGCTAAGCAAAGAGAGATCTGGGACTCTGCATGAACCCACTGGTCCTTCCTTTCTACATCAGACATGCACTTTCTGGCCCAGAGTAGATGACATATCTAAATAGGAAGTCTACTTATTACCTCATAGCAGAGAGAATTTAGATTTTGAAAGTTTTCCATTGTGTACCTCCCAGTTTTGTAGCTTACATAATCTCCAGTGTGCCAGGCCTTAGAAATCCTTAGATTCTGGATTTGTTTACTGTAAACTTCCTAAAAGCATTCTCAGATAAAGACTTTCCTTCCAACAAAAATCATTAGCCTGTTTACCTGGATGACCAGTTATCAGCAAATTAGCAAGTAGATTAAACTCCTTCACCTACTTGTCCTTGAGTTTCCTCCTGGTAAAGAAGTGATTGCCCAGGACAGCTGTTTAATTTTTTTTTTCATTTATCTTTATTGTTGAAAGAATTACAGATGTTCCCTTTTTCGCCCCCCATTGATTCCCCCCCCCTCACAACCTCCCCTCCCCAGGCCTTCACCACACTATTGTCTGTGTCCATGGGTTATGCATATATGCATGTAAATACTTTGGTTAATCTCTCCCCATCCAGTTCTTCTCTCTCTGGTTTGTAATAGTGTTCCTTTGGCTTTTCCCCCTCTTATTTGTATTTTCCTCCAATGTTTTGGAAACTATTTTAAACACAGAGAAAAATTAAAATACTATAATATAGTAATAATACATTATATCACACCTAGTTTGTCCCTTTACTGCTGATGCTGAGTTCCAATCACTTGGTTTAGATGTTGTCTGCCATACTTCTCCATTTTCCTGTTTGCAATTATTAAGTAATCTGTGAGATGATAATTTTGAGACTCTAAATATCCTGTGTCTTTCACCCAGTGACTGATGCTCTGTGACTTAATCAGTTAATTGTGTCTGTTTTTCTGCTGGAATTTTTTATTTATCTGGTAAGATTTTAAGTCACTGAGAGGCTCTCCCCTCCCCCCCAACATCATTGAAGATAGTGCTAATAGCCGTTTTTGCCTGTGGAGTGTGAGTTCTTGACTTCGTGCAGGAAAGATTTCACTGCAGGATTCCAGGTGATTTTGAGAATACATTTATTAAAGCTGAGGACAGTGAAAAGGAAGGGCTTAGGATAGAAGAAGCAACAGGAGAGAAACTCGGCAGGGCTGCTTTGGCTCTCTAGAAACATGGGAAAGAAGTGAGCCAAGGCAGGGCTACTGTCAGCTCACTGGAGAATCTGGTAACTGGAGGCCTTGGGAACAGGTTGAAGGGGTTAGCCCAGGATATGCAGCCGCTGCTATATTGCTCCCCTGGTTGCAAATCTCATAGGGTTCCTTAAAGTTTAGGAGATACAAGCCTGTGGAGGAAGAAAAAGGGGAAGAGAAAGATGCGAATGTGCTTCTGGGAGGGAGAAGCACACAAATTTTGAAAATCTTAATGTGTGTTGCTATTTAATTTTTTACAATAAATTTTCAGTCATGTTAATCTTTTTAATGTATATTTCTGGAGTATTATAATGTAGTTGAATCTGAAAATGAGAGAAAAGTTTGTATAGCAGTTAGGCACAAACTTGTGCTTTGTGAATATTGTGAGAGGGGTGAATGATACTGTTAATCCCCAAAGATGGTAACAGAATAGATACTAATAGTCTAAAAATTGAATAAAGCTGTTTTAGTACTTGACAGAATAAATTTTCAGCTATGTGACTATAGTTATGAACTGGGTTAATTGTTTGCAACAGTCTTAAGAGCAGTTGGAACAGAGTAGTGTTCTTCTTTAGATGCATTTGTCTACTTTTTTGTTAGAAAATATAAAATCTTTTTATCTAACACTGCTGCTGCACATAGGCCAGAAGAAGAAAAACAAACAAAAACGTGGAATGAGTATGAATTGAAAACTACAAAACTGGGTTCTAAGTCTTAGAACTCAGGTATAATTAAGGTTATAAACTTTGACCTCTGTAGGCTTTAGTTTCTTCATCCATAAAATGAAGA